TGATGCAGAGAGATACCTCAGAAGAAAACACCAAGTACTTGCAGAGTACCTAAATGCGGTTCCAGACATCCATGTCTGGGCCTGTAACTCCAGCTCCAGGGGATTACTCCTGGACTCTGAGGGCACCTGAACTCATGTGCACATACACATAAATAAAAATACATCTTTAAAATAGTAATAATAATAATAATAATAATAATAATCCCGAATCCAGCTCAACTGTGGGCTGTATTGAGTCAGTTCCCCATGTTGGCAGCATGATAAAGTGTTGGCCACAAGTCTCAGCTTCAATTTGCTTTCCCACAGGCAATGTCTATCACTCAACCAGAAATTAAGAAGATTTAACCCACAGTTAACCAATCAGCAGACCTAGACTCAAAGATGATTCAGAGTTTGGTATCTGTTAAATAGGAGTTCTAATATATCTAAGGTTTGGCGTGTAATCTCAGCTACAAAGAACGTAAGGTCGAAGAGTGAAAGCTTGAAACCAGTTATGTCCACAGACGGAAACCCAGTCTCAAACTGAAAGTTATGATTAATGAGTTAAAAGATCCAGCTGAAAGGTCAACAGCATACATTCAGTGACCTTTTCTAGTCTCCACAGGCAATGCACATACATGGTATACAAACACACATTCAGGCAAAACACCTATACACATAAAATTTTTAAAAAGAAAAATATTTAAATATATTAAAAACAGAAAGCAAAAAATTATATAGAAAATTCTAAAACCTATAGAGCAAAAATCAACCACAAAGCAATTAAATTTGTAAAACAGCTTACCTAGATGCAAACTCACTTAATTCTGAATACTCCATGGGCTCCATTATTATGTTGAGGTCAGTTATAATAGAAGATAATTTCTCTCTAGTCTAAAATAAAGATAAAAAATTTATGTATAAGAGCAGACTGACTTTCAAATCAGACAAAATTACTTTAAAATATGCAAATCAAAAATTGATGAGAAATGATAAAATATAGTTTATTTGTTAAGCAAATTAAATTATACTCAGTAGTTACTAAAACTTAAAATGATTTCCAAATTAATTATATAAATTGAATATTGAAGTCACAAATATTAGGAGGAATGAATTTTTAAAAAACTTTCTAAATGAACAACAGGAAAAAACTAACAAAAATTATTATATCAAAACTCAAAATATCTAAATAAAAGTCACTTTAGGAAAAAAGTCATGAACTGCCACAGACCGGCTCAGTGGAGCCACTCAGACTATGGGAGAAGCAGGGTCTTGGTACTCAGGAAGGCACGAGGTTGGAGATGACAGACAGACACAACACCCAAGAAAGTAGTTGGAATCTGCTGCAATTTTACTGAATTCATGTTCTCATTATATAGTATTTAAACAAGGAACAAATCAGAAGGTCATGTATCATCAGTTGGCACAGTATGAAAGCTTCTTTTAGTTACATCAGTGATTTCTAAGAAAAGCATATTTTCAGGAACAGGTGTTAGACATAAAACATCCTTTGAAGAGGAACTCTTGTCCCTGGGAACATCAACCTCACACAAGTGGTTTCATCTTACCTAAGAATAGAAAGCTTGTTTCATTATCGCTTTCATGACTCTCCTGCAGGCTCTCTTTCTAACCCTTTCTTTATCTCATCTAGTGACCAAATATGCCTGACAGCTCTCTACATCTGCTGAAATAAACTTTTTTGTACCTTCTTATGCGGCAGACACCATGGGGGTCAGAATATAGCAAGTCTATCCATAAAATTCAAAGTATAATATAACACTTTTTGTCCATCAACATTAATCCATTTATTCCCTTGCTCATCATATACACCCCTGTGTATGGCAAGGGTTTTGCTGTAGTCTTATACATTCCCATACTGTGTTTCCCTATCCCAGAGCTGTTCCTGAAGAGATAATCCTTGTCTTGTAGATATGAAGAATATCATTAGTATAAAAGAGATTGTGTAAAGCCCATAGCCAGCTAATCGAGAAATCCATCTATGCCTCAACAGCAGCCAAGACCGGGCCGTCTGCCATTGACCTCCAGGAAAACTAATGCCATAGTACATGTAGCTCCGGTCCGGCATAATGATGTATGTCATGTCACACAGATGACACTAGAGTTGGTATGACAATGAACTGAGAAAAATGTTTAACATAAACATGATGAGAAAAAGATAAAAACTAAAAATAAAAGACATAAATTAAAAGACTCATAAAATAAATGACTACATTTGCAAAGTTAGGATCTCACTGGTAGTAGATAAATGCAAATTAAAAACAAGTGACATCTTAACTGAACAGAAATTTATAAATGCTACTGCCAGGATCTCAGAGCAAAGTACTTGTCTAGTATGTGCCAGGCCCTGGTATAGGGCAGGGGTTGCCACAGATACACAAATCTGTGATACACACAAATCTGGCACCAGAAATATAAACTGGACCATCTGGAAATCATTCTAACAGAGAATTGCCTAAATATTCATTTATATCAATCTTACACTTTAGATTCCTATAAGATTCTGAACCAGGGCTGGAGAGATAGTTTAGAGGTTAAGAGCACTGGCTGTTCTTCCAGAGGACCTGAATTCAATTCCCAGCAACCACTTGGTGGCTCACAACCTATCTCTAATAAGATCTGGTGCCCTCTTCTGACCTGCAGGGATACACGAATGAAGAACACTGTATACATAATTAAATAAATCTTTAAAAAAAAAGATTCTGCACTAAAGTAAAATAGAGAAAGCCTTACTACTAAAGATATTTATAATAGTGGTATTTATTACCAAGAGCCAGAACCAAGTTCATCACTAATGAAAACAATTTCAGACATTTTCTGTTTGTTTGTTTGAGACAGGGTCTCTAAATGTAACTTGGGCTGTCCTGGAACTCATTATATAGACCAGGCTGGCCAGGAACTCACAAGGAGCTGATGCGGGAGAATTATCTGTATTCTGTCAATCATATTTTAATAAAACACTGATTGGCCAGGCAGGCAGTATAGGCGGGAAAGCCAGACAGGAAGTAGGGGTGGAGCAAAGAGACTGGGAGTATTCTGGAAGCAGAAGCTCTCTCTCAGCCATTCCTGCGCAGACCACCAAAGAGGCAACATGTAAGCTGTCACACTGAGAAAGGTACTGAGCCCATGTGGCTAACATAGATAAGGATAATGGGGTAATATATGTTATAAGAGTTAACAAGAAGCCTGACCTAATGAGCCAATCAGTTTATAACCTTATGGAGTCTTGTGTGTGATTTTCTTTGGGGCCTGCCTGTTGTGGGGTACTGGGAGGGACAGAAACCCCAACAAGCTAGCCCTCATACTACAAGGAGCCAAATGATTCTGGTTCTGAGGTCAGGGATTAAAGGTATGCATGAGCATACCTAGTGATGCACCAGATACATTCTGACAAATTAAATTTGAAAAAGATATTTCTCCAAAGACAATATACAAAGAGACAGTAATCTATTGATGATATACTGCTATTATTGGTCTCTACACACACATACGCAAACACACACACACACACACACACACACACACAAAATATGGATTTTAGTAAACTTTAGCTATGTTATCAACTTTGAAAAAAGGTATCTCAGTGTGCCATGTTGAGTTGGCACTGCACAAAATTTATAGCCATATTGGTCTGGAAATGTTAAATTTAATTTTTCTCGTTTGTACAGGGTTAATGCACTTTACTAAGTATGTAAGTTCATACCTATGTGAGTTTGATCATAGAAACTAAGAAAGTATTCTCAAAAAAAGAAAAAAACAAAGAAAAGCAAATAGGCAGTAATCAGAGGAAGTGATGGACATACCAGTCATTATCTAGTAGTTCTATTTGATCTAGTAATTGCACTTCTGGTGATACAGCCAAACAACTCATATTTCCACTTAAAAACCTCCATGTGAGTATTTATGCTGCATTAGTCAAAAGAACCAAAAGTGAAAACAACTTAGACAAGTGCTGAAATGGACAAAATGTGGTCATCCATACATAGGATACTATTTAATCCCCAAAAGTACGAATATGTGCTATAACAAGGATGAGCCAGACACAAGACATCAAACACTGTATGATTTTATTTCTATGAAATGTTCAAAGTGGGTAAATACATAAAATACAGATTAGTGCTTCTTTAGGGCTGAAAAAAGAGGAGGAAATAAATCTCAATGAAGCTTTTACACACACACACACACACACACACACACATATTTTAATATATTTTTTTTTACATACTAATCCCCAGTTCCTCCTCCCTCCCCTCTTCCTGCTCCCCACACCATCCCCTCATCCTACCCGCCATCTGTTCCTTAGTGAGGGTAAGGCCTCCCATGAGGAGTCAACAATTCTGTCATGTCACCATGTTGAGGCAGGACCAAGGCCTTCCCCTCTGTGTGTAGGCTGAGTGAGGTTTCTCTTCATTGGAAACGGGCTCCATAAAGCCAGACCATTCATTAGGGATAGCTCTTGGTCCCACTGCCAGTAGCCCCACAAACTGTCCATGACACCCACTGTCACCTGGATGCAGGGGGCCTAGATTAGTCCTATGCAGGTTCCCCAATTGTTAGTCTGGAGTCAGTGAACTCCCACTAGTTCTGGTTAATTGTTTCTGTGGGTTTCCCCATTATGGTCTTGACCCCTTTGCTCATATTATCGCTCTTCCCTCTCTCAATGAAGCTTATATTTAAAAAAAAATTTTTTAAGGGGGGATAGAGAGATGGCTCAGTAGTTAAGAGCACTGGCTGCTCTCCAAGAGGTCCTGAGTTCAATTCCCAGCCACCACATGGTGGCTCACAACCATCTGTAATGAAATCTGGCGTCCTCCTCTAGTGTGTGGGCATACATGGAGGCAGAATGTTGTATACCTAATAAATAAATAAATCTTTAAAAAAATTTTAAGGAAAAAAAAAGGGAGTTGGAGCAATGGATCAGTGGTTAACAGCACCAAGGTTCTCTGCATCCTCAAGACTCACAACCTCTTTAATGTCAGTTCCAGGGGATCCAACACCCTCTCTTGGATTCTCTAAGCATCAAGTAAGAACATGGTGTACATACACATAAAGTAAAATAGATAAATAAATAAATAAAATCTTTAAAGAGGAATAAAATACAGAAAGGTTAGGAGAAAACAAAACCCTCAGAAGCCTTTCACCACTGACACAGGCAGGTTACCCTGTCTACATAGTTTGGCATTTAGTATTCCTACCTGTGCATCCCTACAAGGTTAAAGATTCTGCTCAGTCTGCAAAAAGCTGATTCCAAGCTACCGTTTTCCACTCCTGCCCTGCTGTTGGTACTGTTAACCATGCCACTCCTTTTGATTTGATACATATGAAAAACAACCTTATAAACACCCCTGACTTCAATTTCCTTGCAATCTACCAGGTCATTTTTCTATCCTGGTCCTTTTAACAGCAGGTTTCAAATAACTCTCATGATTTAAGAACTATGAACAGAAATCGTTAAGAAAAGGGTTCTAGAGCCAGGTATAGTAGTAATTCATACTTGCAACTCAGAAGTCTGAAGCAGGCGATCTGACACAAGTGAGTGGCCACACTGGACTACACAGTGAGTTGTAAACCAGCCTGAGAAACAATGTAAAAGACCATGTCTCAACCTTACCCTTACCACTTAACCACCAAACATTTTTAAAGAAAGTAATTTTTCAAACTGTATATACTTTTAAGGCAGGATTCAGCTTCTCATAGGCGGTAAGAGAAAAGGTCTATGGTCAAACTACAAGCTGATCAAAAGAACATGGGTTCAAAGAGAGCATAATTTCATCAATAGCCAGCATGATACAAAAGAAGGTTGGAGACCAAGAAACAACTAAAGGGTAAGCAACTTGCAATACTAGCCCATGTTTGTGGCTGCCAGCAGGTCAGCT